TGTAGTGTCTGCGGTAGCACTATGGCCCTGTTTGGCACTTGAATTTTTTGCCAAGTTTGTCTGCTACAAGTTTCTAAAAAACTTTAACTATAGTAACCTCAAAAAAATTTTCAAAATTTTTAAACTATACACTTCAAAATATTAAAAAATTTACACATTTTAAAATATTTTTAAAAACTTCTACAATAAGGTACAGTAAAATTTTAGACAAACGCTCAAAAAACTCACTTGCTAAACGGGACCTATAATTCTTTACCCAACATGGATTGTAATAACCATTAGCAAGAAGATCTGCAGTAGAATGGAATCATATTTATCACGGGTTTCAAAAAGGATTTTTAGGGACATTTTCATTGATTAACTAAGTCACAATGCTTCATTGGATAATTTCAAAAACCTCCCTTGAGGTTTTTGATAATTGCACTTAAATACTCTCTAATATTGGAAATTACACTACCCTCCTTGAATGATATTTTTTTTTGGAAAAATCGTTCAAAACGTCCCTCACATTTTACAAGATGATTTTTTTCGTCCCTCACTTTTAAAAATATAATTTTACGTCCCTTATAATTTCACATTGATCAAATTTAGTTCCTACTTTTCCGACTAGTTTTTGATCGGAATCCACCATGACTTACATGTAATCATTTCTTAAGGATAAAATTATCAAATCAAATTTTTACATAATCTGATTCATAGTCCCTCACATTTCACAAAATGAATTTTTTCTTCCCTAACATTTTACAAAATGAATTGTTTCGTTCCTCACATTTTAAAAAATGAATTTTCTCATCCCTTACATTTTTCAAAATAAATTTTTTCACCCCTCATTGATCATGTGTACAAATAGCTTTTTTCCTATAAACTCAAGTATATCTATTTGATTTTATGTGAACAGTATGAATAACATGTAATTTATCTCTATTAGATTTCATCTAAACATGCTAATCGTAGTTATACACATGTTGTTTAATAGATATATATAGGGATTTAAAACTAATAATTTTTTTTGAAACCCATGTATATATTTATATATTCAATATTTGTGACTTTTCTCTTTTGGTAATAATTTATTTATTGAGTTGTATAATAAGATCATCTAATTAATGGGTCCTAACTCGAATTTTATAATTGTCCTAACAAATTTCAGTTTAAATTTAAAATTTCTACTCGACACTTTTAAGACCAACAGTTGAATTACTTGCTTTGATTGTCTTAAAATTTGAAAGTGCCAATCACTTATTTCTTTTTGTCATACTTTTCTTTTGTTTACTTTTTCTATCCAAATTTAATTCAATAGAAACACTCGATAATATTTAGGATTAAATGTCTTCTTTATTTTCAAATTTGGAGTAAAAGAAAATGAATATAAGTGAAAAACTAACAATTTTTTTAAACCCATGTATATATCTATTTAATTTCACTTAAATAGTACGAATAGTATGTAATATATCTCTATTTGATTTCACATGCTATTCGTATTGTTCAGGTGAAATCAAATAGATATATACATGGATTTAAAAAAATTATTCACACACATGATCAATAAAAGATGAAAATTTTCATTTTGAAAAATGTGAAGGATGAAAAAATTCATTTTGTGAAATGTAAAGGACGAAAAATTTATTTTATTAAATGTAAAGAATTATGAATCGAATTATATAAAATTTAATTTGACAATTTTGTCCTTAAAATATGATCATATGCAAGGCACGTGGTGAATTCCAACCAAAAACTAGTCGGAAATCTAAGTGGGGACCAAATTTGACCAATGTGAATTTGTAAGGGACGTAAAATTATATTTTTAAAAGTAAGGGACGAAAAAAGTTATTTTGCAAAATATGAGGGACGTTTTGAACGATTTTCCCTTTTTTTATATAACTATTTCAGCTCTTGTCAGGAAAAGTTTCCTCAAAAATGGAGAAACAGTATTGACACATAATTTTCTATCAATTTTGCCCTCATTGTATGTAGGAGAAAACATGTTCAACTTTTTTTTTTAATGAAATTAACAAAACGAAAAAAAGGAAAAATATTGGCCTTTCAATGATCCTCGCAGGACAGCAAAGAATACATATAGAAAAGTCAACTTTTGACTGTTAAAACTAAGAAGAGTTGTTCCATTATCAACTACAATGGCTCTATCTTGACAGCATATAAACTAGAAAATGTGTGAAAATTATGCATTCCACTTTTCAGATAAGGCATTTTTTTGTAAAGTGAACTATGACCTTCATTAAGATTGCATACATTGACTAACACAGTAGTTGAAGAACAAATTGTCTTCATCAAGTTATCACAAGAGCTCAATTCATGGAAGAGCATTATTGAGGATCAAAAACAAAATTTGTGATTGCGGATGCAATGCAACAATTAGAATTTCAAAAAGCGAAAGAAATCCAAATAGATTATATTTTTATTGCACCAAATGTGACTATTTCAAGTAGTATAATGGTAAAGAAGAAGAAGAAATGAGCAGCAAAAGACGACAACTAGTTTGATTTTGCACATTGGATGATGGATCATTGTGGAGGAGAAATCCTCTACAGACATGTGTCAGGGTCAAAAGGCTCTGTTTAGACTCCACCTCATGCTCGAACTAATTGGAGTTGGCTATCGTAGTAAGGAACGGCGAGGTCTTTGTAATACGGTCAGAGCTAGAGTTCGACGGGGACTCTAACTCTAGTAACTTAGTTGGACTCATATTCATAAATGGGATAACCATTAGTGAGTGAAAGGATAACTCCGGACTCCTTCATAGCCATCCAGGGAGGCTTTATAAATAGTAGACAGACGAACCAAGAAAAGGTGCGAAAACTCGATACATTCATTCTCCTATATTCTATTATTCTCAATCTGACTTGAGCGTCGAAGTCACAACGGGAAGTTAGTCCCACTATTCAGCTCATCATAGGTCAACTCAGCCACTCCTGTTTGGTGCTTAGTTCGGATCGTGCTCTCGACGGGTTCTACAATCTCCAAATTGAGGATGTTTTGGTTTCTTGAGTTCTCTCTAGTAGAGCTAGTTTGATTTTTCTCACAACAATGACATTGTATGGCATCTTGCCTCCTCAAGTTGCTATACTACCACCTAATTGGCGCCAAGAAGTAGAAAAAAAATTATATTTGATGCAATTTCATTTTCATTTTTTTTTTCAATAGCAGAAAATGCACAACTCTTTTAGGGCAATTTGGTTATTTGAAAGCTATCGATAGTGACGTTTGGTCACATCTATTTGAGAATGGAGGATAGTATAATTTTTAATACTAAACGGCATTTAAGTGTAGTGATCAAAAATCTCGAGGGAGGTTTCTGAATGTAACCCATGCTTTCTTGAGTAAGTGTAAAAAGAACTTCGAGCTTTGGTAATTTAATGATACATGAGGCAATCTTCTTACGTTTGCAGCGAGAAAACATAGAATGCGTGTATAATGCATAGGACCAAGAGTCCGAACATGTTACCACTCTCTCATTAAGGGTTTAATTGTCCTGCACGTGTTCCCTGTGTATATTTGTTATTGCTTATTGCTGTGCATCATCCTATGCTCTGTCAATTGTCTCCTTCGTAGAATCAGATAGATATGGATATTAAATTAACCATGAAGAAACAACGAGAAAGAGTAAGTATACTTATGTATTATAATATTTTAGGTTGTGAAAATGGTATAGCAATAAGCTCAAAACAGATGCAACCATACAGCTGTAGAGCCCCTCATCTTCCAAGTGATGATCCTTCTAAAATGGTAAACTAAGCAGAGACCACAAATTACGCATTGACGGTGCTGCATGCCGATGGTTGCCGTTCAACTTGGCCGTATTGTTTTGAAAGACGGATAACCAATAATATACCCAGTTAAACTATGACCTCCATAAATATTATCCCTTACGGGAACGCCTATTAATTAGCAGCGCGTAAGAGGCTGTAGTATTCAAACATGCAGTTGTTACTCATGTTATACCGTTGACATTGAGGTGCAAACAGCTAGCGCTTCTATTTTGACTCCCGGCACGTCGTTGAAATCAATCGTGTTCCGATAGTTGCTACCTAATGCGGATATAATGCATGGAGTAGTATACACTAATAATCAAAGAATGTCTTTGTATTAGGGCAGTTCCGTTGACCATGGATTTTTAATGATTTTTTGTTGGATTACCGATTCCTATTGCGTTTCTTAGAAGACTTCGCACACCGAAAAAAAAAATGTCCAACATGCCATCAACTAAAAAAGGCCGCGTTATCAAAATGGTGGAATTAATTACTCTTTAAGTAAGAATTGAAGTTTTTCACAAGCTTCGTGAATCTTTAACTACTAACAAAAATTGAAGGGAGTCTACGGAAAATGGAAAAGTAGTTCGCCAGAAGACGTATTCAAATATGTATTGGAGATGATGGAATATAATATATTTCTCCGTTGATAATTGAAGAACACAGACATGATGGTTTGTCAAAGATGCTAGCAGGCATGCAATTTTAGTAGTTTTGACTATATCTACTCGAGAGATATGCTGCTCTGCATATACAAGTGCTAGTATTATATATCCCCGACAGACCTACTTTACTAGACTAAGCAATCAAGTTAACAACTCTCCTGACTTACGACCTTCATCCATATTGAGAAGTATATTTAGTTTGAATGGGTTGAGAATGAAATTAATTAGCGTGCATTTATGCTCTTTTTTTTTTTTTTTAATTCTGGCCAACTTCTGTCTCATAATCATGCCGTGTTTGACACATTCAATTAGTAAGAAGTGTCGATAATTTAGAACATCGCTTTTTTTCTTTTTCTTTTTTTTTTTGCATTTATTGGGTTTCGGTGGAGTATAATACTCGCATATATCTAAAAGATTACTTAATTAAGGGTTCCTATGTAGAAAAATAGCACCAGATCTGGAGCGGCACTGTAGCCCTCTCTTTTTTTCTTTTTTGGGCAAAATACTGAGGCCTAGCTATAAATAGACACAGCTGCTCGTCATATAAGTCACAAGTGTCACTACCGACCATAGAATTTTAAGTAGTAGTGGTAGTAACTAAAATCAAAAGCAGCAGCAGTAGCTCCGAGTTCAAACTGAACTGAGAGAAGAGCGAGCACCTCCATTGGAAGCTTCTCAATTCCACGATTAATGGCTTCTTTCTCCATATTTTATCTGTATCTACATGCCTTGATAATAATATTGTCTTCCCTGGTACTGGGCCTAGCTTCCTCTGCTCCACTTTCCCCCGTATACTATAACAGAGTGTGTCCCCAAGCCTTGCCAACCATCAGACGCATGGTAGAGGATGCCGTGAGCCAAGAGCGCCGCATGGGAGCCTCTTTACTGCGTCTACATTTCCATGACTGTTTCGTTAATGTAAGATCTGATGTATTCGATTTCTCTGCTTGATTCTTATCGTCGTTATTTCGTGATCAGAAATTCAGAATGTGTTGTGTTTTAGTATACCCGGCCCTAATTAAATTAACTACCGCATGTGAATGAGAAATATAAAATGGTATGTCGGACGACTACTGGTTAGTTAACGTGTAATGTGTTGCATGGCCATGCATGCATGTATATATATGTGTGTGTGTGTGTGTAGATTCTGTAGAATTTGAATTTTTGGGTGCTAATGATTCCTCCCCTCCTCACATGCAAATATATATGCAGGGTTGTGATGCTTCAATACTGCTAGATGCAACACCCACAATTGACAGTGAAAAGAATGCGCTTCCTAATGCGAATTCCGCAAGAGGATTTGAGGTTATCGACCGGATCAAGGCCCAAGTGGACAAAGTCTGCGGACGCCCCGTCGTATCTTGCGCTGATATTCTGGCCGTTGCCGCTCGTGACTCCGTTGTTGCGGTGCGTTTGAGACCTATATATATATATATATATAATCTCAACCCCGAATCCCTGTCAATTTTTGTTCATCGATCCCAAAAGATGCATGTTGCTAGTATTTAGCACGAACTAGCTATAACATAAACAGGTCGTTTATATAGCAGTAAGTAGTATAACGGGATGTTGTTGTTTGTGTACAGTTAGGAGGGCCATCTTGGGCGGTTCAGCTGGGCAGGAGAGACTCCACGACCGCCAGCAGAAGCGTAGCAAACAATGACATACCATCGCCCTTCATGGACCTACCAGCACTCATTAGCAGCTTCAAGAAGCAAGGTCTGAACGTTAAAGACCTTGTGGCGCTGTCTGGTGGCCACACCCTCGGGTTTGCTCAGTGCCGCCTCTTCAGAAACCGGATCTACAACGAGACCAATAACATCGACCCCTCCTTTGCCAGCCAAAGGCAAGCAACCTGTCCTCGCGCTGGAGGCGACTCCAACCTTAGCCCCCTCGATCCTTCCCCCGCCGTTTTCGACACTGCCTACTTCAGTAACTTGGTGAGCAAGAGAGGGCTACTTCACTCTGATCAGGCACTATTTGGTGCTGGGGGCCCAACCCAGGATCTCGTCAAGTCTTACTCCGCTAACTTGCTCGCCTTCTCCGCTGATTTTGCCAATTCCATGATTAAGATGGGCAGTATTAAACCTTTGACGGGGAACCGAGGTCAAATCCGATTCAACTGCAGAAAGGTGAACTAGTTTCCATGCCTGCCTCGTGCGTCCGTCGTTCAATTATTGCCAATAGTTGCTGCTGCAGTTTTTCCTGAAATCGATCCTTTAATTAATGTTTCAAGTGTCATTATTGTCTTTGTGAAATTAAATTTAAATCCTTATGGAGTATAATATTTCGTTGAAAGACGAGTTCTCTAACGAGTAAAGAATAGGACGGCTGGCTGAAAATTAAATGAAATGTGATTTTTTAAGTCCTTAATTTGTAAACTCTTCCATGCAATGTAAGTTTATTGTCACCTTTTGGGGCTGTGGTGGTCTTGAAGATTTGTTTAGGAGTCCATGAGAATTGTTTAGAGCTGTTTGTGTCGCCGATCCAACATTAGAAATTGAACTCCAGCTTTATTTTATTGTCCGCTTTCCCATGCACGCTAATAACAAATTTTAAGTTGAGTTCTCTCATTCATATCGTAAACTCATCCTTCATCTAATTCTCAAATGTCAGGTTTGAATTCTCAAAACGGCATTTCTCCCCAAGCAAAACATTAAGGCGCAACATTTAAAAAAAAAAAAGAAAAAGAAAAGAGATCTTACTTAATTTAATTTAAAATCACTATGATTGCTCAAGAGGTAAGAGGGAAAACGGATCTGGTGCGACAATATTCAAGAAAAATGCGTATTTCCGCCTTGTTGCCAACTAAGTTGTAAATCATCGAGGGAAGAATTGCAACTATACGATCTCCAAAGTTTGGTACTTGTACGATTTAAGTCCTAAAATCTCGACAAAAACAAATCTGGCCCCCCCTATATTTGGCACCCGATGCGATTTCAGTTCTTAAAACTTTGGCGAAAATAAACCTAGTCTCCAATTTTTTCAATTTGAACCAAATTAATGAATTTTTCAATTATTAATGAAGTCAGTCGCGTGAAGTCACGTGTTAGTTAAATTAATTTGTTTTTAAGAAGAAGCAAAACAGCAGGGTAACTAATAAATAAGATATGAAAGAGGGAGAGAATTTATTAACGTATTCATAAAAATTGAGGGGATGGTGGGGATAAAGGGTGAAAATGAGTTCTGATTGATGAACTAGGTGCTCCAATTAGTTTCATGTTTGTAGTTTAATATTTTTTTTCTCTTTTACTAGTTAATTAATTAATTCATAAGTTATTAGTCCATAATCTTTTTATTTAAGGTTAGCCATTATTTTTTATTTTAAAATTCAAGTTAACGGACATATGATTGCGGATGGGTAAATTTTGTTAGTATTTAGGAAAAATCCTTCAAATGTCCTTAATCTACATTGAATTGGATACACAGGGACTGGATTTCTTCTTAGCAAAATTTTAATGACTAAAATTACACGGATGCTAAACACTGGGGACTAAAATTTTTAACTCTAAAGCCGCATAATGCTAAACATTAAGGACTAAAATTTCTCTTCTTCTTTTTTAAGCCGAGTAACCATTCAAGTGACCCAACCACTTGAATTTATCCACTCCAGCAATAAAGTGCTGCACGTACGGTCCGAAAGAAGTGATACAGTGTAATCTGTAAGTAGGTCTAGATTAGATTCTATCATGTTCAAATATAAAAAAAAGTGATCTGCCGTCTCAATCGGATTGATGCAACTTTCAAGTCCATCACCTTTTGCTTGTAGCCCAGTTCCGGTGCCAACTCTAACGTCCTACTAGGGTTGCAAACGAGTCGAATCGAGTTGAGTTTTGGCCTAATCGAACCGAATTTCGACATAATTTCATTGAACTTGAACTCGAGCTCGACGAGCTGACAATTTCAAGTTCGACCTCGAGCTCGAAAAAAATAAAAAATAAATAAAATAATATTTTTTCTTAATAAATAATAAGATATTAAGGATATATATGTAATTTTACTATTAAAATTAATAAAATAAAAATATATATATACTTAAAATAAAAAAATAAAAATATATATATATATATATATACTCATATATATATATACTCGAGAACGAGATTAATATTTTGAGTTCGAGTTCGACCTCGATTTCGACTCAAGCCAACTCGAACTCGACTAGCGGCTCGATTTGTTTGCGGCCTAGGCCCTGTCCAATGTTCGACGTCCATGCAGAGCAGAGACTTGCTTGCAGCTCCCAAGTTTTGCACAAAATCCCCGCAACTAAAGGCCCCACTCATCTCTAATAATTATTCAGGCGAGGCCTCTGAATATTTAGAAAATATCATAAAACTTCTAAGGTCATATCCGCAGTTGTAAAATGGAGGAGGGGAAAAATCATATATTTCCCCAAAAAGTAGGCCAAAGGTAAAAGTATATGGCGAATTTCGTGAAAATCTTTCGAAAGGAAATTCAAAAACCCACGATCATATATGGTTATCGTTATGAGAGGATCTTCTTTATTTACTTTTTTTTTTTTAAAATTGCGAGTAGGAAAGACGCTCGTTTCCATACAATTGATAAATATTACAGTAAAAATTTTCAAATGCCTTTTTGGAACATGCGCAGATGGATATTAGGTGAAACTTTGATTTATGCTAAGATCCAAATCATTTTTCACCGAAGAATTGTAACATTGGTAAGGCCTCTTATAGTTAGGACACTAGTTATCCAACACAATTAATGCTCATTTATAGTGTATATAATCAATACTTACTTTGTTTTCTCGCACTCTGACACTTTCTCTATTTAATTGCACTTTAGAAAAGTTTTGGACTCCAGTATTTTAAGGTTGGCTACATGATGTAGGTCATATCCTCTATTTCATGTATGTGTCAACCTCCAAACTGCCGGATAGAGGATCCGAATTCTGGACTGAAAAAAATTCTAAAACCTCTCCTCTAATTACTGGACCGACCCTAATGGTTCTAAGGAATTTCAATTGTTAGTTGAAACAAAAAAAAAAAAAGAAAAAAAAAATACTTTGGCTTCTTGACTAATTGAGTCAACTATATACAAGGAAATGAGTCAAGTTATTTTGATTTGTGAATATAAATCAAACAAAAAGAAAAATGAAATACTGTAAGCCAAGACCTTGATCAGTTGCGGTTGATTTGATTACAACAGCCTAATGCGAAAAGCAGCATTGGTAGAACGATTTGAGTGAAGCTTACGAGATTCCTTTACGAAAACAGCATCAGCATGATCTGTGGGATCTTTTCGTTGGCTTTATTCAGATAATTTAAAGACATTCTCCATGAACAACTCGATCGTACTACGCTTCTCTTTAGCCACACCTTACCTTGATAATGTTGATGTTTACAGCATCCCCAGCCCATAGCCATCTCCATTATTTCTGTCACGGGAAGAACACATGCATCTGCCCGGCCCGTATCTGTAATTCCTGCCAGAAAACCATGAGCGTTGAGCATTTTATGACGCTGGGGACCGACCGGCAGCCCTACAATTTTGCATATATCAGTCAAGACCACCGACAAAACTAGATACTAACTATTGCTCGGTACGAGCTTTAGTGGTCCTTTCGTTTGTTGTCGTAGATCCTTTTTCATTCTCTCAATCCACTTCCATACGAATCAATTTAACCTTCCTCTTGGGGCCATAACATGGAACTGATGGAGGATCAGAAAATCTTGCGTGGCCCTGCCTCTCGCGGTCCTCAGTCTTCAGGCAAAATATCGTTGAGAATTACCGTGAAACGGAGACTCTTTTAGCAAGTAAGGTGAATTCAAGTGTGTCAGAATACGACCAAATTTAATTACCTCCAATTGCTTATTTTATGCACAAAAAATAAAATGTGTCCATTAAAGGCACAAAGGGAGCCCTGCCCGTGCCTAACTAGCTTGGCTAAATTGCTGTATCATCATCATCTAACGGCGAAAATTCTTAGGTTCACCGCCTAATTTTAGATATTTGTCGGTGCGGAAGCAATTCTTGGAATATGTTCCCGGACTAACTCTTCACCATCAGTCCATCACTCCATTGTAGTATTGTTTTGAGGAGAATTTCTCTCCATTACAGATAATTATTTTTAAAAATTAATACCATTCATAATCTATTTCATTACTTGTGCTAGTTATTCATCAAATTTTGCATGAAATTGACTAGATTTTATCGTTTGATTAATCAGTACAAATTTTGTTACAATTTTGACCGACTTTTCATCCTCCAAATACTTAGTACAAATTGAATGTCCTCAAAAGATTATCATTTTTAATGTATTGATCTAGACATCAAAATAATAACGGTTGTACTAATTAATGCTATTGTGTATTTGTTCTTTTTCTCTAAGAAATCACTGCTACGACTCTACGAGTGATTCCCAGGATTAAAACAAAAATAGCGATACTACTACTTGCTTCTGCACCTGAGCTTTGGTAATTGGAGATTATTTCGTGCAGATAAATACCCTGCACTGCTATTTAAGCTACCCTGACCGATGTCGGATGGAGTAAAGACTGCTAGCTATTAAATTTGGCGCAGTCCTTCGAGGAAATGAAGAATTTATTGATTAGAATCGTGGGATGTTGTTCTAGCCCTTGTTTATGAACTCATTAATGATGCTGAAAGTACGTACTTAGTGCATTCACTCTGGTCGACAAGTCCAAGTGCATGCTGCACAGTGCATGTATAATTTACTAGTATCGATCTCACCATTATTAGATGGGCACGCTTCAATAGTCTAAAATTCTTAAATAGCAGGGGATGAAGAGGAGGCCAGGGATACGAGGGAATATGGAGTGCTTCATTAGTATGAACTGTAGGCGACAATTATTGGCTAACTTTCATAATCATGAATACATTACGAATCATGAATAATTAATTAGTAGTCTAAAACGTTCGCTTCAATGAACACACCAGCTAGCAAACACAAACAGAAACAACAGAAGTTCAAAGCAAATAAATGGGGCAAATCGTCAAGAAGCAATTCGCGAATCCTGACCATCAGCCAGATCCACAGCCAATGATGGACAAGAGATTTTTCTTCCTGGTCACAACTGATACTGAATTGCCGCCTTGATTCCCACCGCTGATCGTGCTCCTTCTTGCAGGAAAGCAAAACCTTGACTTGGGAGATCCACTGCCACTGGGCATTTGCAAATGGTCGTCTTCGCCCTCGTCGTCCAGCGATGAACCCCAGCTAGAAAATCGTCTCCGGCGCCCACGGAAACTGGAAGGTGTTATTGTACCAGAAAAGGAGGACGAGTGAGAGGAGGACCTGAAGGATGATAAGGATGACAAGGATGATGATGAAGAAGGTGGTGATGTCAAATATTCTGCCCTGTTGAGACTGATCGTCCTCGCCAGCAAACTGCGCAACACCAGTTTAGACCTCGGTTGCTTCTTTGTGGGCTTGTTAGTGCTGCTGCTGTGGGAAGTATTAGCATGGTAGGAGGGAGGGGGAGTGAGCGGAGGAGGGACGTAGAATCAGAAAAAGAAGTGTGTTTCGGGGTACCAGGC